TTAAAGCATCCAGACACTTTTTATTTGTTTAGAAACACCCAAACACTTTTGTAAGTTTATTTCCAAGTTGTACGTTTGTTTTGAATCCGTCGCACACGTTTCGAGTTTTGCTGAAAAAAATCTGTAAATTAAAGTAAAACTGTCAGTTGGTCAGAAAAGAGCCGAGCTTAAACTAGGAAGAGAGAATATCGTCCTCTCTTAACCTTTCAGCTCTGCTGTCTCTTTGGAGGCTGTCAGGACTCACAAAGACACCTGACCCGTCCCTAAGTGTCCCCTGCCTCCCCCAGCTGTCCCCCCTGACCTGACTGGCATTCCTGGCCGACTGGGGGTCCTCCCCATGGCTACCTTTACACTCCCCACACAAAGTGTGGTAATCCCACAGCAAACACAACTGTGAGGTTCGGAGGCCGAGCACGAGACTTCTCACAGTGGTTCGGCTCAAAGGTGCTCATCATTGTGGGAACAGAGAGACAAAGAAACATGAGAGAGGTGCATTGTGGGATTGATTCTCAGAAAGTAGCCCTTGAGCAGTAGAGACTGGAACTATTATCTAATTATAAGTTTTATTTCATGAGTTTGGTGCTATTTATCGAATAAACACACACGACGTTGGCCGAGTGTTTTCATCTTTTTAAATCCAACCAGACCGATGAGAGCTTTCAGAAGTTTCCCCAGCAGCTCTCTTCACACTGAGCTCCAGCCTCTTGACTGGGCTCGTCTCCCAGGACTCTCACGTGTTTACCGAGGCTGCAAAGATGGAGACACTTTATTCAGACCGGACAGTGTGAGCAGCTCTGGTACCTTCAGACTGCCAGGTCAATCCAGCAGGACTCCCCCAAGGTGGCTGGGCTGCACTGCACAGTGTTCCTCTTCATCCTCTTCCTCCTCATGAACTTTCGGATCTATGACCAGGAAGTGATGAATACCACTGGTTTGAGCTAGCCTGAGGAGGTTTCACTTAAGTTGGACTAAAAAACTCTCCTGAACTCTAGAGGTGAACACAATTCTCCACAAGACACCACAAAGAATGCCAGGATGCTTCTGAAGACCAGCGGTGTCTCTGACAGTCCAGTTTGAGTAAAAACAGTCCAACACAAACCAGTAAACATGCTGCGGGCCCTTTCATCACCAGCAGCTTTGGTTTGGTCCAGTTGAGTCAGGATCCGCTTACTTCCAGGCCACTGCCAGCCAAGTTTCAGCCCAGTTCTAGTTGAGGTTCAGCCCAGTATCGTTTCAGTTTAGACCCAGTTTAAGACCCAGTTTCATTTATTTTAGTTGATTGCTCATTTGTTTGTCTGTTTATTATTGATACTCTGCATTTTTCCCATCACACGAACATCCAGTTCAATTCATTTTATTTATATAGCGCCAAGTCACAAGGGGGAAGGGGGAGTGATGGCACAGAGGTTAGAGAGGGTGGGCCTGTGATCGGAGGGTGGCCGACCACTCAACTCCCCGGACCGACAACATAAAAATTTGGGTAGAAAAGGTGAAACGCCCACACCTGCCTCCACCCTCACTTGCCCCACCCTGGGCGCATGATCCAGGATTTTAACCCTCCAGCTGCTCCCCGGGCGCCTCTGATGGCAGCCCACTCCTTCACATGTGTGCTCACATGTGCAATGGGAAAAATGCAGTGAAGTAATCTCCCCATTGGGAATTAATAAAGTACAATAATAATGATAATAATAATCTCAGGGCAAACATTCACATACATAAAAAGTAAGTTAAAATCATTATTTATCTGAGGAACAGAATGCCTTGACTCTCGTTTTGAGCAGCACGAAGGCAAGAAACCTCTAGCAGAACCAGGCTCAGGACAAGCGGCCATCTGCTTCGAGCGGTTTGAGAGGAACAGGAAGGAGGAACGAACACACAATGGCAGGTCACATGTGGAGAAGAGGACCGCCACCAAAAGCACCTGGGGAGCAGATGGGGTGGGGGTCAGGGGTCCACAATGGGGCAAATAAGGGAGGAGGCAAATGTGGGTGCTTCCGCTCAGTTTAGCCCTGGTTTAAACACAGTCCAAGACCAGTTTTAGCAAGTTGTAAGTCAAGCGTATCTAAAAATTCACACTGAGATTTAACAGTAACCCACATAACTTACTGTCTCTGTAAGATTTCAGGTAATAAAACCAAAATACAACCGTAATATTGAAAATGATCAATTTTAAGCTAAATGCGATATAAAATATTTATTTTCTGTGTGGACATTTGAACTTACAGGTTAAAATTGAAAAAAGCATTGCAGGGCCTTCCTGAAGGCTCAGAGCCCTGCGTTTGGTCCCACCCACTCTACATCAGCATCGTGATTGGTTCATTCACCTGTCAGTTATGAAATAAACCTCTGCAGAGACTTTGACTGAGCTCGGCCTTCTCCGCTGACACTGAAGTCCTGATCATGGAGGAAAAAACTCAAACTTGTTTCTGCCTGGAGACACAAATTTAAAGGAATCTGATTGGATAGTTGTATTTTCATGCATTAAAATGTTTCATCTGCAAAGTATTAAACAGAAAATAAAATAAAATAAAGAGTTTTTTTTTTCAGGGGGTCACCACAGCAAGCGAACTGTACAAAGTGGTGAGTAATAAGAGAAAAGAGCAAATAAATAAATACCAGTTTGAGACTTGTACCAGAACAGTTTCAGTTTAGTTTAATCCCACTTGTTGTTGCTGCAGACTCACTTGTTTACATCAAGTATCCTGCAGAACATATCTTCATCACAAAGAACATTATGTTATTCCAAAGACAAATGGACCGTCATCAGGAACCTTCTAACGCAGCCTGGAGGTGGTGTTGGGGAATGACCACAGGATGGATGAGGTGGAGGGAGTTACTGAAGCGTACACTGAAGATCTGGACACACAGATGTCATGACACCTTAATTCAGCCAACCTTTATTGATTGTTCCATGTGTGTGACCTTGCCGCAGGAGCTCGGCCAATCAAACGTATCGCTCCTGTGAGGGCGGGGCCAATGAACAAAGACATTAATGGATTGAACAGGTTGAGTTTAAAAAGCCTCGGCACACATCTGTCACAGAGAAATGCATACTCTGACCAGACGTGCACAAGTTTCTGACACATGGTTCATGATCCTCCATTCAGCATGACCTCAACGTGCACGCTCTCAGACACCGAGTGTAGTCTTTTCTGGTTAACACAAAACGTTGACAGTTTTACTGCAGATCATAAAGATCCTTCAGAGAAACACCTGAGGACCAGCTGTTCAGTCACATGATGTCAAGTCCAGAATTTAATTCAAAATCTTACTTCTAACCTACAAAGCCCTCAACAACCTAGCTCCATCTTATATTCGAGATCTTATTGTTCCATATTTTCCTAACAGAGCACTTTGCTCTCAGACTGCAGGTTTACTTGTGGTTCCTAGCGTTTCCAAAAGCAGAATGGGAGGAAGATCTTTCAGTTCTCAGGCTCCTCTCTTGTGGAACCAACTTCCAGTTTCTGTCCATGAGGCTGACACATTGTCCAGTTTGAAGACTTTCCTTTTTAATAAATCCTATAGTTAGGGGCGGCTTATATGCTGTCTTAAGCTTAGACTACTAGAGGACAAATTGACCTCATGTCCTTAAATTAATTGTTAAATTTGAATAGTTTTCATTTGATACTATTTCTATCTTATCATATGATTCTTGACCTGCCATTGTGTATCTGTTCCTCTCAAACCCAGCCGGTCGAAGCAGATGGTCCTCTTGTCCTGAGCCTGGTTCTGCTAAAGGTTTCTTCCTCATGAGGGAGTTTTTCCTTCCCACTGTCGCCTTCATGCTTGATCAAGATGCAAGTTCAGTGATGGAGTTAAACTCAAAGCTGCTCCTCAGATAAATAATGTTAAATTATTATTTTTATATTTGAAAGTTTCTGTTCAGTCCCTGAGACGAGTTCTGTTGTGACTTGGAGTTTTATAAATAAATTGAATTGAACTGAATGATCAGCTGTTGAGTCACATGATCAGCTGTTCAATCATGAGCTGTTCAGTCACATGATCAGCTGCTTAGTTAAATGATCAGCTGTTCACACACACACACACACTCGCACACACATACACACGCATGTGCGTGCACGTTCTTGTAATTGTGGGGACTTTGCATTGACTTCCATTCATTTCTATAGCCTAACCCTTACCCTATACCGGTACGACTAACCCTAACCCCCCCAACGAGACGTATCCTTACGGGGAACATGTTTTAGTTGGTCCCTAGGATTTTTTGCAAAATGGGGATTTTGCAAACACACACACACACACACACGCACGCACGCACGCATGCACGCACGCACGCACGCACACACACACACACACACACACACACACACACAGAGTATGCTGGAATCAAGACCAGAGATCAGACAAGATGCAGAGAGGACGACTCACATGGAGGAGAAACCTCTAAAACAGACTGAGTCAAATTAGATTTACTTCTATACATTTAGGTATAAAAAATAGAATAGAATAAATGTTTTAATAAATAAACTTTTTGTTTGAAAACTATATTAAAGGATCTGATTATTTATTACAGAATGTGCTTTTAATAAGTCCAACAGAAAAAAAAAAACTAAAGTTGAGTTCAATATCATTATTAAGCTATTATTATTACATTCTATAATAATAATTATTATTATTAATAATAATACTACTAATGATAATATTTACAACAACAATTCGTTAGTAGTCTATTATTAGTGTTTTTCCATTGGTTTGAACTCTTCTTGCTGCAAAGACCTTCATTAAAAACTACATTTCAAAGTTTTACATTTGATTTAATGAAAAACTGCTCGGAGAAAACAAACAAACAAACAAACAAACAAACAAACAAACAAACAAACATGAAGTGAATTAAAGTTGAACTTGTACACCTGAACCGGGTCTTGGACCCTCGGAGCTCCGGGTCCGGCTCGGTCCTCCTCTGAGTCCCTTGCCTTTACAGTTAGTGCGTGTTGCGGGTGTTGTGCGCGTGTTGCGGGTGTTGTGCGCGCGTGTGTTACCGTGGATCTTCCTGCGGGGGTTGGCCTGTTTGCGCCTCTTGCAGCGGGGACCCTCCGCCATGATCTTCGGCTTCATGAGTCCGGGTCTGTCCCGTCTCACTGATCCGGGTCTCTGGTCCTCATGGGCTCCTTCCGCCGCCGGAACACACCACACTCAGTAAATCCCGGACCGGGTCGTCCACCCGAACCGTCCCAGAACTCCCGCACTGTCCTCAGGACTTTTTGAAGACTTTGACTGCACTTTGTTCTGAGCGCGCCGCGTGCCCGTCAGCCTGATGGAGGAGAAGAGGAGCGACTGGCACAGAAGGAGGGGACGCGTTGACGCGCACGCGCACACACCCACATCCTGCAGAGTTCCTCCTCCTCTCTGAACTCCACCCAACAACCACTGACCTGTTGATCTGTCAAAAACACAGGAATCAATCACCTGTCAATCACCTGTCAGTCACCTGTCAGTTACCTGTCAATCACCTGTCAGTCACCTGTCAGTTACCTGTCGGTCACCTGTCGGTCATCTATCCAGCAGGTCAGGGCCTCGCGCTGCTTCAGGGCCCGGTGTCGGCCCGGTTCCCCTGCCCTGTTTCCCACCTGGAAGGTGCTGTTATGACGTCATCAGAGTGCCAAAAACCTTCAGACTGTCAGTTTGGATCAGCTGCAGCTCAGAGGAAACACCTGGAACATCTGGACTCAGCACCTGTTCAAGAACAAGGGAGGAGGCGGAGCAGGAGGCCGGGACGCAGCTGCCTGCACGCGTCTGTCCATCCACCTGTCAATCATCCATCCATCCCTCCATCCACCTAAAGGCGGGAGCGCGCACCTCCTCTCACCTGTCTGCAGGTAGATTTGACCTGGTGAGAGCAGCGCTCTGATTGGCTGCAGAGACAAACCGGAACATCTGGGAGGATGAGGAGGACAGGAGCAGAAGAAGACGGGTGGTCGGAACCACAAGGAAACGGTTCGGGAGCTGTGGTTCGGGTGATCCGCTTTGTGCGTTCTCCACAGCTGAGCGCGCCACCTCTCTGCACGCCAAGGGATAGTTGATCGGGTTCACGCGCTTCTGAAATTCAGCTCGTGCCCAGCGTGCGCTGCTCCCTGATGATTGACTCTCATGGTACCTGCAGGTAAGGCCGGGACACGCGTCACGCGCGTTTTCTCTCTCCTCCCGAGCGTGCGTAGACACGTGATCTGAGTTTTACAGGTGAGCCGACCTCATGTCAGGCTGGACAAAGGCTGCTCCTTCCAGAGGCAGCCTGGGCTCGAACCCGCAACCTCCGGGTTACTGGACCGCGGCACTGACCACCAATCTACCTGATCCAAAAAATAAAAAAAATAAAAAAATAAAACAATCTAAAAATTCAAATTAAAGAAAATTAAAACGTGTTTCTGAAGCCGTTTATTAAATAAAGAAAACAAACAAAGACAAATAAGAAGAATCTAAATGTTTCCAACAAGTTAAAACAAATAAAAATAAAGATGAGCTGTGAACGCTCAGTGTATCAAACATTCAGGGGTTTTATATTTTATTTAACAAACATTTATTATATTTGTGTTCGCTCCGGTTCCTTCATTTAGTCTCAGCGTTTAAAGATGAGTTTCCTCCTGCAAAGGTGAATATTATCCAACCATCTTTTAAAAATATCAAATCAAATTCATTAATATAGTTTAAAACAAGTGTCGTTGGACAAACGTCTGCACATAATGCAAACAGTGTGAAGAAAATACAAAAACAGGAGACAATAAAAACAAACAGGACATTAAAATGAACAAGAGGCAGTGAATAATAGTTACATAATTAAAACGTCAACTGTCATGCTGTGTTGTGCTTTAAGATGTGACTTTAAAACACCAGGAATTATAATCTGTATGTCGTGAAGTGACAGCTAGTTCCACAGATAGATTAATAGATGATTTATCTACCTGGATTATTGATTATGCATCAGGACAGCTCCTCATATAGTTCAGGAAAAAGATCTGATCACCTCTGTGGACCACGTTCAAATATAAATAAAATGAAAGGAGACATTTTAATTTTGAAATGATAAGCTTGAAGAAATATGTGCACTTTGAATGACTTGTTACAACAGCAGGGTACTTACCTTGTTAATACAGGGGTAACACCAGGAAAATACTACATAAATACAACTTAAATACACTGTAAATACTAAATAAAGCCTCGCCGTGGTTCATTCAAACAGCTGAAAGAGACAAAATCACAACATCAACTTTTTGAGATAATAAAACCTAAAATATTCTGGATTAACATGTAGGCTGAACATTACAGATCCTTGACCTGTAGAAGTAGATCTATGACCTTTAAGAGCAGATTTCTGACCTTTAAGAGCAGATTTCTGACCTTAAAGAGCAGATTTCTGGCCTTTAAGAGCAGATTTATGACCTTAAAGAGTAGATTTATGACCTTAAAGAGTAGATTTATGACCTTAAAGAGCAGATTTCTGGCCTTTAAGAGCAGATTTCTGACCTTTAAGAGCAGATTTCTGACCTTTAAGAGCAGATTTCTGACATTAAAGAGCATATTTCTGGCCTTTAAGAGCAGATTTCTGACATTTAAGAGCAGATTTATGACTTTAAAGAGTAGATTTATGACCTTTAAGAGCAGATTTCTGACCTTTAAGAGCAGATTTCTGGCCTTTAAGAGCAGATTTATTACATTTAAGAGCAGATTTATGACCTTTAAGAGCAGATTTGTGACCTT